AATTCCTCCTTGCTCCTACCAGCTCTAACATTAATTTAGTAGAAGACACTTTATGCAGTGTCAAGTGGATAAATCCATCAGTGCCACAAAAAATCATCTTTGACCAAGGAGAGATGTATCCATAGAGATCAAAGCTATCTAGGTCTGTGTTCTGCTTTAAAAGGAGCCATGGAGGAAACTTTCAGGTGTAGAGACGTTTTCTTCTCTGTGCCCTTCCAACTCTAGGAATTCATTAGCTTGGATTCAATCCTAGTCCTCTTGTTCTTGGGCACAGCTGCCTCAGTGAGACACAGTGAAGTAATGTCTTCCCAGTGGTGCCAGTGGAAATAACAGCAGATAATTCAAAGGCTCTGAGAGAACAAGAGGCTGATGAGACACTCAATAAAAAATGTGAAACTGAAAAAAAAAAAAAACCCTCCATCATCTTCGTGTGATGGAAACATAATTCAAAATCTCTCCTTGCATCACCACGCTGCCTCCTAATTCCCATCTCCTACCCCCGTGGTGCCCTGACCAGTTTCTCTCCTGTTGATTTAGGGGGTAACTTTTTACAAGGATTCAATGGGATTCCTTGCAGGAATCATCACATCTCTTCAAATCCTTATTTCCTTTCATTTCCTTGACATGCCTGGGAATGTTGCTTCCTCCCAGCATTTTTCAGAGGAAGGGCAGGAGGAGTGGGACTGGAAAGGAAGGGCTGCAAGTTAAAGATTGATTTGACAGTGAGTCATGAGCCACGTAATCACCAAGGAGGCCTCATCACTTCTTCTTCTATCCAAATTCTCGTGCTGAGTTCACACCTTGGCTCATTCCAGGTCAGTGCATTTTGAGCACTTTGAACACAAAATTGTAGACACAAATCTGCAAATCACTCGAGGAGCTCTCCCACCATTTGAGAGAAAGCCACGTTCAAGGGACAAGTCTGGAATATCTGCTTCCAACAGTGGAAAGCAAGAGAGGGAACAGGCTGGGAAAAGTATTTCATGCCAATCTACAGCATCAGCAGGGCTCTTTCCATCAGAATTCAGATTTTTGGGGTAATCCAGACCTCCAGTATGACCTAGTCAATATAACAAAGACAGAAGCTAGTGGGATTTGTCTGATCAAATGTAGACATGTTAATGTGATATTTTAGAGCTGATATGGTGACCCTTTATTCCATGAGTCCAGAGAGGAAAAAGAGACATCATCTAATCCATATTGAGGATGAAATAAATTATGTCTCAGGCTCTACTTGGTAGACATCCAGAGCTACAAACTGGGGAAGGTGACTTCTCATTTGTAGTGCAGATGCAATTGCAGGTATCAACATTTAATTAGACAAATCCTCTGCTAAATGCACATAACCCAGGAAACTGTCATTAATATCTCAGTAACTCCTGTGTCAGTCTTTCCTAGCCCCAGGCTTGGGAACAGGTCAGAAGAACATGGATGGGAGAAATAATAATAAAAGAGGGTGCATGTGGATCAGCAGTGAGATTTATCAATTCTGATCTGGCAGAAGATACCTCCAGGGCTGGTGAGAGCTAGAAGAGGGTCCAGCACAAACTGCTCCACAGCAGGACAGGGGTAAAAACTCAAACAAAGGAGATTGGAAACACTGATCTTAGAAATAGCCTGGCACCACTGCCTGGGGAAGTTGAGTATGAAGTAATCACTGCTCTCCTTCCTCTCTTGTCTGCCTTTGGCTTTCATTACTCCCCTTTATCAGTTTAATTCCTTCTCCAGAGCAAGGGAGTCAGACTCTGGGTCCTGCTGAGATTTCATTTCCTTCAAATTCTCTTTTCCATTCAAGCTGTAAGTGATGACTGGACGGGAATGGACACATAGGGTCAGCACATGCCCCCTATTTCTTCTCATATAAAGTTTCTTAAAGAATTTAAAGCATTTAAGAGGAAGAATCCTTCATAAAATTAATAAAAAAAAAAAAGGGAAAAACCAAACAGAGAATCTCAGGGCAATCATTGCCTCTGAAGCATTAAAGGCATGGCCCAGCAGCAGCAGGAGAGGAAACAGTGCTGTGAAGAGTAAAGAAGTAATGAGCAGAACATGTGGGCATGAGAGGCAGAGTGGGGGAGAAGGGAGGAGACATCAGAAACTCCATTTGGTCGATATTTGTGTTCCCTGAACACAGCAAGGGGGTAAAGCAAAGGCAGCAGAGCTGAATTCTTGCACAATGTAGGACCCCATAAGTTGTTCTTGCTCTCTCTCCAGCCAAGGACAGGGCTTCCCATGCAGGGAATCACCAGTGCAGAAAACAAGTACAAACACTTTATCATTATCACATTTTTCACCATGTGGGCGCCCTGGAGGACTCATGAACCCTAATATTTCATCATATTGTTCTAGATACTGCAGAAATACAGAATACAGAGACTGTTCATGTCCCAGACCCAAGTTCTGTACATCACCCTCTTTGTGCCACCTGCCATAAAAGGTGGATTTTTCTTTTAAGTCACAGTAACTTGACCATGTTCACAAGCCCCTACAGATTTCTGAAAGGCTCATGATCCCATTTCAGAACTTGCAGCCCCACTGAGGAGAAATCAATTCTCAAAAAAATTTAGATATTGAATTTTTCTATGAGAATTTTCATGCAGAAATAGTCAAAGAGGTAATTGTGTCCTTCTCCTGTGAATAAATGGAATTTTATTCACCAGTCAGAAGGGATTTCTTCCTTCTTTTAGTTGTTTCTGACAAGCAAGAGGGTTATTTCCTAAATTTTTCTTTGAAAGAAACAAGCTGATAGCATTTACCCACTAACTGGTGGTTATCATTATAACCAAATATAATCAAATATATCATTATAAGCAAATATAACCAAATCAATATAACCAAATTATATCATATTATAACATGGTTGCCATCACCAGCAAGTCTCAGTCCTGAATATAAAAAATTACACAGGACAATTTTCATTTTTCCCAAATAAAAATAGTTTGTGTGCAGCAGGAGAAATTCAGGAGGAATCAACACCCTGCACTTATGACTGCTTAATTTCTGGAGAGTTACTGCACCTTCAGGGAGTTTTGTGGTGAAACATCTCCCAAAAATTCAGCCAGTAAGGAGGTGGTAGAATTTTCTTGATATCCCATCCTTTAAGGAGATAAAGCTTTGCTGGGATTGAGGGTGGAGGGATCTGCCTTGAAAGAAGTATAATGAAATAATGAAAGGTGAGTCTTGAGGTCAGGACTCCCAGAGGTGAAATTAAATAAATTTAAAACAAGTCTACAAAAAATTAAAATAAATGAATAAATGAATAAATAAATTAAAATGCAGATAAAAAGGCCAGCAAGCAGGATCCATGGAATGAAAAGGTTTGCAAACAAGAAGTACACCAGAATCCTTCACTGGAAAATTAATCTCTTGGAGAGGATATGTTTTTTTTTACTCTAAGCCACATCAGCAGTGGAACTCATTGCCACAGGATGTGGGGAACAACTAAAAGATGCTCAATGAGCCTGGGAAAATCTTCCCAGTGATTCAGCCTGAAAACACTGGGAGAACAGAACAGGGAGCAGCTGGGCTCTGCTCTGAGTGAGAGCCTGAAAGGATCCAGCCCCTTCCTGCCCGAGTGGGTGATACAAATCCATCACACTGAGGTGCAAAAGCCCTTCCAGAGGCTCTGGGATTCCTCCAACTCTGAGCTCTGAGCTCTGTCCTTCCCACTTGGAACAGGCACGGGGAGGAGCTCGGTGGGAACAGTCCCCAGATGTCAGGGTTGGTCTGGATTTGGGTGATAAAGAAATAAAAGCTGGCTGGGAAATGGTCTCTTCTCACCTGGGGAGTTCTATGAATTCCTGAACCCAAACAATCGCCATTGCATAAGCCTAAGAAATAGGTCTCATGATCAGCTCCTGGCACCATTCTGGGGGTAGGAGGCAGGAAAAAGGTTTTTTTCCCTTTTTCCTTGCTCATGCCACTTCTGGAGCAGGGAAAAATTGGGAAGCTCTTCTGTAAAGCACAAAGAGGGTCTCAAAAGCACATACCTGGGGGTGAGATGAACTGCCCAAAGTACACTGAGCTCTCCTCACTTCCACCACACCCCACAGTTCCTCTGCCCAGAGCTGGGCAGCAGAACAGAAATGAATTTATGCATGAGATGAATAGCAGGACCCTGATGGAAACCCTCCTCTCTGATGGAAATATACTCCTAGCAGCTCAAATGCAAGGAAGTGTTGCTTTAGAGGACCCTGGTACCACAGACACCTGTGTTCTGCCCTCTGCTTCTGCACTAGAATGTGCTGCAAGAAAAAGGGGAGACAAACCTCCCCTCTTTTATCACACACCACGTGTTTTATCAGCTTTTCTCTGCTGTTTTATCAATTCCAGTCACAGCAGAAGCAGTTTGGACAGGACTCAGTAAATGGACCCTGATTTCCAATTAGTTTCTTTGTCATTCTTTGTCCTTCTCTCCTTGGTGCTGGCCACAGGCAGCTCCTGCTGCAGTCAGGAGGAAATAAGACAGGATATTAAACTATAAATTTCTTTGCTCACTGCCTCAGTTTCTTATCTCAGCAACAGCACAAGTATCCTTCATCAAGATTACAGATACCACAACGTTAATCCCTGTAAAGGGCTTCAGATCATGTGAGAGATACACAAATTATTACTGAGATGAGGAAGGAAAACGAGCTGCTCCAGAGCAGCACTTTGTGTCACATCCTGTCCCCAAAGCTGCTGTCATCCAGGCAAAAATCATCCAGGCATCCTTTCTTTTTATTTTATTTTTTTAATATAAATTTGCAGACATATTGTAACTCCATTACCTAACATAAAGAAACAAATTCCTGACCTCTGATAATAACCAGGAATGGTTCTCATGCACCCCCACAGATTGAATTTGTGTCCTGATTTCCCCAAGCTGATTCAGCAGCAGTGATGCTCCTCTTACCATGAAATGTTGGCTTTGACAGTGCTGAAAACCCCTCCAGGCACCAACAGGAAATGGTGAAAAACACTTTAAATTGTCAGCTGGACGTGCAGGATCTGGAACTCACCTGGAGAGGAGTCATTGAGAGGGTTCAGGGCCGTCGCCCTCCGGATCTTCTCCAGACAAGTCTCTTGCTCCTTTTTAATGATGCAGTTGGAATGAGTTGCTGCAACCTGAAATGGGAGGAAAAAAAAACCAAAACAGTTACAGAAATAAAATTGTGAGGTGATCAGGAAGTGCCAGTAAGTTTTAAGATCCCATTACAAGGAAGAAAGAAAAAAAAAAGAAGAAAAATATCATTTGAAGTTGAGGAAAAACTGAAACAAGCTTCATTTTCTGTCCTTTTTTTCTCCTTTACTTTTACTCCTCTTTTTTCTTCTAGCAGGTCTAAGGTGAAATTAAGTAATTGAAATTCTCATAAATTATTTGAGAGTTTTATATTGTTCTCCCTGTCAAAATGTGTTTTCTAACATGTTTGTTTTATTTTATTCAATTCCTTCTTCACATAAATCTGAACAAGGGTATCTCGAAATACAGAAATAATTTAAAGAAGAATTATGAATAAATTTAGGTGTGGTTTGATCTTCCACCAGTTTCGTATGAGTCTTTGCATAATTCATTAAAATCTCTCTGTAATCTAAACCAAATTAAAATCAGTTTCTCTTATTCTGTCACCCTGTTCATTCCTCAGTGTTACTTTTATTTATTTCCAGAGAATACAAGGTAAATTCTTTTGCCAAAAATAATACAATGTCAAATAAGCCAGGCTGACTTGATCCAAATATTTTCTTTCTTTTATTTCTGTTTTTTATCTTTGACTCTCTAGTAGAGCGCACTACAAGAAAAAAAGTAAAGGGGGGAAAAAGAAGGGAACAAAAAATTTAGTTTATTAACATTGCAGCCAACAGAATTCAGGCAATGCCAAAGCAACAACAAAATAAGGATGTGACCCATTTCTGGAAACCAATACAGGACAGCAGAGAGTGGCCAGGGAACATCAATAGAAGGAAAATAAAACCTCAGATTTGATGAGATCACTTCACAGGGGCATAGCTGAGGTCCAAACCCCACCCAGTGGAAAACACCATGGAATCAGTGCCCTGGCTGAAGGTGGTGCACTGCAGCAATTTTGTTATTTTATTTTCCCATCCCATTTCCATCACCCTTGACAATGGAAAACCACAGAGGAAATGGTGTGTGACCTGTTTTCCCTTATCTGCTAAGTAAAAGAAATACCCAAATTTAATTTGCTCTGGGTTATTTTGGAACCCCACGTGCACAATTCAGCTTTTCCTCCCTCACATCCCGGGGAATGAACAGTTTGGATCAGGGATGCACCAGTCAACAAAACCTGAGAGCAAATCCCCAGGCAGGTGAAATCCTTTCAGCAGCTAAAGTGACTTACAAAAAAGAGGGAGAGAAACTTCTACACCGGCAGAAAGCGACAGGACAAGGAGGAATGGTTTGGAAATGAAAGAGGGGAGATTCAGATCAAGAATTAGGAAGAAATTCTTCCCTGTGAGGGTGGGCAGGCCCTGGCACAGGGTGCCCAGAGAGGCTGTGGCTGTTCCTGGATCCCTGGAAATGTCCCAGACCAGGCTGGATGGAGCAACCTGGGATAGTGGAAGGTGTCCCTGCCCATGGAGGAGGTGGAATGAGATTTATCTGTAAAATCCTTTCTGACCCACACCACTCAGTGAGTCTGTAAAGATCCAGTTGGATGGTGCTTGTGTTGTGCTTTTGTTTGTGTGATGATGCTCTGAACCATCTGCACACTTTTTTTTTTGTAGATGTTAAAAGCTACCACTGCTATTTCAAGGACAGAGAGGGTTTCCTGATGAACTCTCCTGGAAAGCTTTCCTCACCATTTGTAGGAACTCATAATGCTGCACAGTTTCATCATCTCCAAGATCCCAGTAATAAATTTCAGCTATTTTCCCCCAGAGGACACACCAGGCACAACCATATTAGATTTGTTTGTCTTCAAAACAAACACAGTTCTGTTTTAAGGGCTCCCAAGTGCCTGGAAAAGATAAATTGTCACAGATCTCCAGGATCTCCCAAGAACATAAGGGCTTTAGCTACATCATCCCCTAAGCATCCCCAAAGATAGAGAAAATTGCATTGGCTGGCATTCAAGTTTTTAGAATATATTTTAAGAAGATAAAAGGGAAATAGAAAGAAAAACAGAGTTCTGCTCTTAGGCCAGGTTCACCCTCCACAGCTGCCCAGGTGTGAGAGGAGAGTCCAGGGATTGTCTCAATACTCAAATGTGGCAGTTTCTATACAGTTCACTAGGTACAGATTAGAAAAGTTGTCATTTAGTAAAAATATTGTCCTTATTATTATTAATAATAGAAATAATAATAATAATAATGTGTTGTCTATGCAAGCAGGATGTAACTAAACAAAAGGAAATATTTCTTCACACACTGTTAACTTGCAGAAATATTCAGCTTGAAATTGTGGATGTTAAATGCCACACATGTATTCATATATTTATCCAAAGGCCATCCAATAATGGAGCTGAGTGAGACACTAGAACAGATTATTCCAGGCTGCCCCTGGAGCCCTGGAAGTGTCCAAGGCCAGGTTGGATAAGACTTGGAGCAGCCTGGGACAGTGGAAGTTGTCCCTGCCATGGCAGGGGTGGCACTGGATGATCTTTAAGGTCCCTTCCAACCCCAACCATTCTATGATTGCATTCCAGAATATTAAGAAACCCACAATGCTCCTGTCCTCAGAGACATTTGATATGAAAATTCAGATTCAATCTACAATGAAAAGACAAAAAAGTGTGATTTTTCCTTATTTCTTTGGTATCTTCTTTGCTGGAGGTGTATCAAAGCCAGAACTTGATTGATTGTAAAGAAAGACCAAAGTTAAAAGGTCAGACTTTTCTGTTCTCCTCGCAGAGTGGCACATCTAGTCTGATTAAATTTAGTCAGATGCATCCCAGTAAATCTGGCTTAGGAGGCTCAGGTGTGGACAGGGCCACGTGCTTCACCTGTCCCTGCAGCTTTCCTCAAGCTTTCACTGTTGCCACAATATTCTGATGTGACTTCCCATCACCGTCTTTCGTAGCACCTCATCAACAGATCTTAAAAAATATCATTTTGGGGAACCTGGAAACCGAAACAGAAAGCAAAGCAAAGGAGGAAGCATCAGCCTTGGTGTCCAAGGACAGAACAGGAGCTGCCTGTCCCTGCTAACAAGCAATTCCATATCTGGGAAAATAGAAAAGGCTTGAATTGATAATAACAAAAGGTTTGTCTGCTGGTTGCAGAGACACTTTGATGCTGTCACATTTTCCTGAGAGGATCCAGGGCTTTGCTGTTTCTCAGGCCACCATGGACTGGTAAAGCCTTTAATCTGCCAAGTCAGGCTTCAATTCCTGATTTCAGTGGCAGTGTAAGCTTGAACTCCAGGCCTCCTCATCCCATTTCTTTTGCCTCGAGGACATTTGCAATTTCCTGTGCTTAGCAGAGACAGTCTGGTTTCAGTTTCCCAGAAGAGATCAGGGATATGTGCAGTTAAAGAGTGTTTTGACACATATTAGAAAAAAAATCAAGAATCCAAGTCGATAGTGCATGAAATTCACAGGTCTTTGAAAAATTTATTACTCTCAGTGAAGTGAAGGATTCTGACTCACATCAGTTTAGAAAATGTTTATATCCATTTAGATACAAAGGCAGTCAATATTTGTTTGGTTCTGAGAGAACACAAGAAGCTGGCAGGACACTAAAGAGGTACAACAAATTCAGAGCTTTCATTTTCCTTACGTGTCTTTTATTAAGGTGGCCACCACAAATATAAACTGGTACGTGAACTGAGTGCTTAACTCTTTGCAGTTTCCTTGAAATTATGGTAAAATTAACAACAATCATGTTATGTTACAACTTACGTATTTACAATAAATTTGGTATGTTTAATTATATTTTTCATATATATTTATATAAATTGGGTCTATATAATTATATATGCACACCAACTGTGCAGAACAGTCCAGCCAGAAAATCTGAACTGCCTTTGACTGCATTCAGTTATTCAAAAAACACCATTTTGCTCATTTTGTTCTCAGTAAGAATATTCACAGCTGCTATAAAACTTGATTTCCCTACATGGGTTTACTCAGTGGATCTGCAGAAGTGAGATGTCCCCAGCATTCCTGAGACCCTGCAGGATCAGAAAATCTGCTTTGATGTCCTAGTAATAACGTGATGGTGAGATGGGAATTCACTTGGAATTTCTATAAACACCAGCTCAAATATGGCAATTCTGTACCATTGGCTGTTCTTTTCTCTTTTGCATTTTTGTGTTAAGTCTGTAAAGCCCTGATTTATTTTCTTTGGGGTTTTTTTTAAGTGAATGGGAACATTTCTACTTCATTCAGGATATGCCATATCAGGCACTGTGACAATGAGAGGGCAAAGAAGGACAGATAAGAATCAACAACAGTGACAGCAACTCTTCATTAAATCCTTCATGGCCATGGTTTTACATCAACACAAAGATGAATTAGAGTGTGATTCAACTTTTGCTTAAGTGTTTTTTCTAAAAAATGCAAGAAAGGCGTTTAATCCACAAGGTAGATGAGCTCACTCACTTCAAGCTGAATTACACACGTTTTACTAATTTTATTATGACTTCCAGTATTGAAAAGTTAGCTTCAAAAATGATAAATTGTTGTGTGAGCATTGCCAAAAGAGGCTCACTTTGTCATGGAAACGACACCGTTCAGTCCCTGTTCTCACCAAGCAATGATTCAACTGGTCACACCAGGGCCAAGACTGGCAAAATGCTGTGTTAAAAATAAAGGGCTTTGGGAAGGAGCTCTGATTATCTGGATTGATTTTTTTTTTTTCCCCCAGAACTGATTTGCATCACTGCTGGGCCCCACAAGACTGGTTTGGCAATCCAAGAAGTTGTTGTCCCCAGGAAGGTCTGAGGTTTGTCACTTGATTGCGTTTTTTGCCTTCCTGAGTAAATGGCATCCAAACCGCTGTGATTTCAAAACACTTCACACTGAGTGAAAGGGTAAAGCCATTGGGAACTCATTCAAACCCAGCCACAATGGTACAATCTGCAGCAGAGCTTGGACACCACACTTTAAACAAATTGTACAGGGGAAAAAAAAAAATACCCACCAGCAGAACACGCTGCCAGGAAAAGG